TGATTCAAGCAACTTTCGCGAGTAAGAGCCTTGTACACCCGGGTGCATTCGCATTGCACAGTCTAGGATTTCTGGGCTCCTGGCTACTAATCGCGCTCAAGGTGCCCAGGCCAGACCTGAGGTTCCAAAAGCTGGGTGAAGAAGCAACTAGCGCGGCAAGGAATTGTGCCCGTTACTACTGGGGACCCTGGCCAGCAAGCGCAGAAATCGCCCGGGTAGGTGAGGAGCTGTGGCTCCGACCCGGAGTTAAACCCGCGCTTTTCCCGGGCCTCTGAGTGACCAGGCAAAGGCTGGGTGACTTCCTGCAGGCTTCTGTGTTTTAGATGCTCAGGAAGCGGGAGCCAGACCTGGGGCACTTATGTCCATAGGAATGGCCCTGGGCACCCAGATATATGCGGGTTGGCCCTGAGGAGTAAGTCCGTGGAGGCGGGGAGGGGAGTGCGCGCCGCCAACCCCGGGGAAACGCCGGGGCGGCCTCCAGTAAACAATGATGTGCTTTGGACAAAGAACAACAATAAGACCTTTGCACTTATAAATCGCGCGCCCTCGGCGGCCTCCGGGAGCCGATCGCGAGGCAGGGCGCACCGGAGTGCGGTCGGGGCTCCGCACAGCTCAGGTAGGACCGCGCAGCCGGACACCGTCCACTCGCACCGCGCATCTGGATACCTTTTGCGTCTCCTCCCCGTCCCTGGGCCAGTCCCCCTTGGGCCGGGGAAGCGAGATCGGAGGTCTGGAGAGGTGAGGAGGAAGGAGTGGTGGGGAAGGTCGCGACCCCCCGCGTCCCTCGCACCTGGCGCCTCGGCTCTGCCCTTCTGCTGCAGCGGCTGGCTTCTCCTGCCCGAGCAGAAAAGGGGCCTCGGCTAGAGGGTCTTTGGGGACACTTGTTCCGAAGAGGGTGGGAGGCAGGCGAGGGTCCAGGGTTCACTCCCTCTCTCACTCTCTGCCCCCCGCGTCTTTCCCCAGTTCACCGACCCCTCCAGGCCACCCCGGACCCGTTCCTGGCAGTGGGCGACAACTCGACTGTAACCCTGTTCCCGCTTGGCCCCGCCTGGGGTTTGCACAGGCAAAGCAGGAAATGTGCTGTTCCCGGTCCACTTCCCTGCAAAGAACTTGTTCTCCGCGGGGGTGTTTCTTAGATACCCGCCCCCCAGTCCCCGCTGTGGTCCCGGGTTGAAGTGTGGGCTCCTTCCCTTTATTTTCTGACTCTGGGAACCTCTGATTCGTGTGTGTGTGTGTGTGTGTGTGTGTGTGATGGGGGAGCCTTGGGTGTAAGAGAGAAAGAGAGAAGCAGCCAGCTCATTCCCTGAGACAAATGACACACACACTGCCCAGCCCAGTCCCTTCACATCTGCCTTGTCACTTAACAGGGAATTTCAATAACGCCAT